CATTCAACTGATAGACCGACGCACAATCAGCCGATATCAAGAACTCGTGTTTCTGCACCTGCCGGACTGCCATCGAGACTGCAGCGGTCGCTGTGTCAGCCTACTCGAGAAAGAGCTTAATATATAATACTCGTGTCTACTAGAACCATGTTTCTGTTAGGGGATGTATGGCGGGTCACGTATTTTAAAAGCGCCGTAGTTTGTGATACGTTGTTAGATCGATTAAAATGTGGACGCGTAAGAAATGCTGCAGAGTTTGTAGTAATAAACATTTACGTGCTTTAACATCATGGCCCCGAATGATGACGCTTTCATGCTTTGAGGGATAAATGTAACTTTAAAAGTGAAAACAAGCTCCTGAGGGAAATATCTGTAGCTAAGGAGGTTAAAGTAAGTGATCAGTTTAAATTGTTGCGTCCAGAACTTTTTTTCACATTATTTGCCCATGAAACGTTCGCCCGATTTCTTTGACTATTTTCGTACACAGTTTTATGTATTGTTATGTTCTGTCTAAAGATAAATTTTGTAAATGTGCCCTTTTGAATCAGATATTAGCAAGACAGTCATCTTCAGAGTAATATAAATACTTTTATAGATTATCGCCATTCTAGTTTGCTACAGGTCACACTGAAACTTTATAATTAGTATTTCATTGCCCTTATGAAGGGTAAGGGGGTAGTTGCAGTTTCAACGTATGGGACGTCAAATAAGTTGAGCATAAATGCTTCTGCACAAATCGTCTTTCGGACAGTAGAACTGTTGTAAAAAAAAGTATGTGGGCGTAAAATTAACAGGATGTAAAACAAATTAGACCAGCATTTGACTTGATATGGGAAATACTGGCCGGATGACATTGACTTGGGTCTTAGGGAAGTGGATTGTGAGATAAAAGACATAAGTGCTTAACCTTTCGCTTTTGCATTTTACAAATGACAGCTGAACTTGAAGTAGCTATTTGCGTCGTTTTATTACGGAAACAAAGTGTTTTAACCGAATTTCTCTTTTATTGCGTGTGATGAACTTGGCGGGTAAACGAATTCCGTGTGAACTGTGGCTGTTAAGTTATGTGGACAAAGTGTTTTAACCGCGTTTGTATTTTGATGTGTGCGATGAATTTTGTGAGTGAGGAAGTGCATATCGACACAAATGACGTCCATCTTGGCAACGACTGCAAGCCATCAGCAGTGCCCTCACTGCTGGTTCCTGGGAACAGCTGGAGCAACGCACACACGGTGAGTAGAGCTGAACATTATTTACCTGACACCTTGTTTAATTCGAAATGGATGTTTTATGTCTTGGTTTTGCTTTAGCTAACCTTGTGCTGTCATAGTTAGCCCTCATTTGGCAGAAATTGTGCTCATGGTGGCGGAAATTTTAATGTGTGCACTTCTTTTTATATTCCAAACAAGTTCACTTAGCATAGGCAGGATAATAATATGCATTTACCAGCCCCTTATAGGTATGCAACTTGCCTTCATGTAACGTAAAAAAGAAATCGTAGTATGAATGACACGCATTAGTGCAGAAATGTACGTGGGCCGTATAATACACATCGGCGGGCCGCAGATTGAAAACCACTGGAATGTATGATTTCGTTTTGCGAGTCGTGTTCATATCTCTGAAGCACTTTGTGACTTTCGTTGGAGTTAGTGATATGAGACCCGCGTGATGTTGAAGTTATGTCCCATACTTCTGCAATGGACCATTCCACCCACTAGTCACATAAAAACTAATGCAAACATTAAGTTAGCCTGCGTTTGAATGTTATAATGTTCAAATGACCCGTTCCTGTCCATCAGGCTATTTGTCATGACGTCGAATTGGTTTATTTTTTGTTAATTTATCTGTTTTACACCAAAAACTGTGAACACTATAATGTCAAAGAGCAGTCTGACATGAATATATACTGCAGTGACACGCATAAAACAGACGCCGATAGAAGATATATAGTACAACACTGCGACTAGAGAAAGTCTAGAACATTAAGTTGTGAGGATATGGAGACCATTTAGCGAAAGTTGGCCGTGGGTTTTCAAGGAAATGCGTTGATTTCCCAGAATATGAGCGCTTTGTTGCGTGCTTGGGGGATCAAATTCTGGCATAGTCCAACAAAGTAGTTCAGAAGGATTATGTTTCAATCTAGTTCGTAATCAGAGCAGAATGTGTTGGGAGTAACTGCAGATTTGACATTTAGTCTGCGTAATGGGATTGTTTATTTCGCCATACCGCCAAAGGCTTCCAGTTCATGACATGAATAAATTTTACGGTGGCTTTGTTCTGGTGAGATATCAGGTTCTCAGGGTGGCGGGTGTGGCGCTGCAATCCAGAAGACAGACATCTACACACCCCAGCCGTGAGCACCTGAAATTCTCTGAATATCTTCGGCGATGGTCTTGTATTGCTACTTTCTTTCTTTAGGACCTAAAATCTTTAAACCTGGAATGTCGTAACATTTCAAAGGATGAATCTTCCACTGTCTTCGGACAAAGAAGTGGGAGACACCTATTCTGTTTGATACAGTATACTGAGATATTCTTGATCTGTGGATCCGCTCGAAAACGGTTTGAACAGTTTTACATGCAGTGTCTGACAGACGTTGGATCGTGTTATATTCTGATTCGCATAAATGAAGACTTCTGTCTATAGAATCGCTGTATAATCACAGTCCTGATGTTGCTTTTAACATAAAGGAAATTCCAACTGCTGAATACGAAGAACACGAGACAACAATCTCATACTTCCATCTCAGCTACTCGATAGCGCCTATTCTGTGAAATCACTATGGCAACTGTTAATTGGTAACTCTTTTGCTGTATGTGCCGTATAGTTAAAAAAATTTACGCAGACTGATAGTAGTGAGTGAGGTACTGGTGTTACCAGAATCATGTGGGTGGATTGACGCCGAGCATTGTGTAAACACGCAAGAGACATATGTAGGCGGACAAAAATACACACTCGAACGCTAGGAGATGAACATGTTTGACGGACGATCGAATACGTCCTGTGCCGGTGTTTTTCCAAAGTCTCTTGACAGCGAAAACATTTTTGCTACAAAAAATACTGAAATCACACACCGAATCAAGCAAACAAAGAAAGGATGTGAATGAATTTAAAACATAGAAGGCTGAACCCTGTAACTTGGCAGATAAGAATAAGAAGAGCATAAAGCTTTACTTCGACGGAATGTGTTTCACGAAAGTGGTGCTCTTTCGTAAACCTCGTTGAGTTCCTCATTCAACCCGCTGGCAGACGTCAGAGTCACAGGTGTGGTCACGGCAAGAACT